CCAGGATCCTTACCTCAGCAAGGTCATGCGGGGCGGGAATCCAGAGGTTTGGGCAGCCCCTGGACGGTCCCCCTGCCTCCCTCAAGCTGAGGCACCCTGTGCTACCCGACCTCTTTCCCTGCTCGGTTCGGGCAGGCGTGGTCTGGCGGTCTCTCTGTTAGATGCCCCGGCCTCAGGGGCCGGAGTGTGGGCAGGCGTGTATCAGGGCCTGATCCAGGCGGGGCACCAAGGTGGGACTCAGCAGGGCGGTAGAATGGGATCCAGAGCCCATACACGTGTGTGGGGGGCATCCCTCGTGGTGGAGGCAGGGGTGTTGGTGGTGGACTGCAGGGTGCGGATTGGTCCAGACCCCAGGAGAGCTCAGAGGCCGGGTGGGGTGGGGGATGACCTGAACTGCAGAGGGGTCATCCCAGAGACCAGAAGGGTGTGGAGGTTGGGGTGTGTGGGGAGAGCTCAGAGGTCAAACAGGAGGATGTGGTCTGAGTGGGGTGTGGGGGCCAGAGAGGAGACCCCACCCGGAGGCCCCTCGCAGGGGAAAGGAGTGGGGTAGAGCTCAGAGGCATTTGCCTAGGGCTGGGGCTGGGGTTCCTGTCGGGGGAGGTGCAGAGTTTTTCGGCTCCTCCAGGGGGTGGGACTCTTGGCTATGTGGTGTCTAGGGGAGCAGAGAAACTGGGCCACGCAAGAGGGGAAGGGCACACACACCAACACGCTCACACTCCCACCTCCACGCAGACCCTTGCTCATCAGAGCCAGCTCCCCCAGAAGAGGTGCGCTCCCCAGGACTGTGGGTGTGAGCTAGAAATCTGAGCGGCTTCGAAGCTGGCTCACACTGACGGAGGAGCCAGCGTCCAGGGGCTCCTCTCATGATCTGGGGTAGGAGGGTCCTAGTCCCCAGATTGGGACTTGACCCGCAGCAGCCTGGAGACCCGTGGCACCTCTTGCCCAGCCAGCACCGGGCTCCCTGTGCAGCGGTGCCAGCAGGCTGCCACGCTACCACTCGGGGGCCGCAGCGCCTCCCGATACTCTGATACTCTCGGCCCAGTTTCCTTGGCCCCAGGCCCATGGAGGTGAATGCCACCCTGACCTTTCCCCAAAGCTACTTCTGAGCTGCTCAAATAGGCAATCATTTTTTATGATGTAATTTATAATGTATGCAGGTTGTCTTCATACATATGGTGTTGCTTTTGTGTGTCAAGGTTTCAGGTGCTTTATTACTCAGACGGTGTGATTTGCATTCATGTGCGGTTACAAAGATCATATTTCTCCAGTTTGCACCATAAGGGCCCGAAATGAAGATGAATGGCGCCTCCCTTCATGGGGACCGAGGTTCCCCCCTAAATCCCAGAGCCCGGGTAACCCAGAGCCCCAGCGCCGAGCTTGGGGGAAGGAGGCCCTGGCACACCAGAGGATCCAAGCAGGCCACCTGCTCGGGCTGTGTGCATCTGAACAGAGGCCCGGGGTCTCCAGGGACAGAAACAGGGGCACATGCATAGGAGCCCTCTTCCGAAGGAGGCCATTCGGCCGGCCACATGAACACCCAAGTCTCCCACAGGTGAGAAGAGAGGATGCTGATGAGTCTGGGCAGGACCTCACCAGCCAAGTCACTTCCGACCACCGCAGGGAGCTGGGAAGGCCCCACGGCCAGAACCAGGTGCTGACCAGGTCCCGAGGCCGACAGTGTCCCTTCTGGCTTCCTGCACACCCGGAATCCCCTGGCAAGGGGGTTGGCGCAGCTCCGCTTGGGACTGTCCCAGGGCTGGAGGGAGCAGCCGCCACCCGGCCCCTCTGCTAGGCCTACCCTACGCAACTGAAAAGATGAAGCTAATTACATCAGAACAAACAGACGCAGGACGGAGGGGGACACTGACCCCGAAAGAAAGGGCATCGTGGAATGCAGGTGCTCGTGTCAGCTACACATGGAGCGGGGCAGCCTGGCGCGCAGACAACCAGGTTCCAATCCGATGGTCCTCCGAGGTAAACACGGCTGCGAAGGCCCCCACTCGCTCCATTTAGCTGAAAAGGCCCCGAGAAAGATCCTCCCATGGGGCTGAAGACTGGGAGGCGAAAGTTGGACGCAGAAAAATGCACTAAGTCTCCAAAACTCCGGCCATGATTGGGGTTGGGGAAGGTCCAAGCACTGGTGGCCCCGGCCACTCACTGCAAGGGGCACTCCCAGCCTCTTCGGAGCTGGGGGAGGAGGTTGCTTGACACCTAAGACCAATCTAAAGAGGGGCCCTGCCGGGGAACTAGAGATGAGGCTGCTGGTTTTCAAAGCGCCCTCTTTCTCTGGAAGAGGGGGGGAGGGGGGCTCCCAAGGGAACTAGGGCAGGAGGGTCACCTGGTCAAGTAGCTGTTCCTGCGGGGGAGGTGCTCAAACCCCTGCTTGGATTGGTAAACACGGGTGGGAGCAGCCCAGAGGGCCCTCTGCACGGTGGGAGTGGGGGGCCCAGGTCCATGGCCTTCCCAAGCGTAATTATTTGATCTGCAGATGTAAGTGGAATTTATTGTAACAACAAATATAGTGATGTCAAAACCCAACCTTGGATTAAAGCCGGCAGCCAAAGGGGAAGTGTATTAATTTCCAACAGCATCTCAGGCCAGAGCCTATTAGAACAAGCTATTCTTCAGGCCCCCCCATCAGAATTAATCATTGGGAGTTAATTTGAAGCTCAGACAAGTTGCTGTTAATTTAGTGCAGGGAGGACGGGATGGAATAAAAAGCTGAGGTGCTGGCCGAGCCTCGTGGGTCTCATTAATCAGCCAGCTGAGACGGCCTGGCTTGATTACAATTTGCAAAAAAATTCATTAGGGCCCGGGCGATTGACAATTTTTCTCTCTGCCTGTGATGTGACTCATTAGGCAGCCAAATGAAAGCCATGATGACGGCCATGATGACAGCGGCCATCAAGTGCAGCTTGTTTATCTTCCTCCCCTTGGCCTGTCTCTCGGCCTGGCCTCCTCTGGGGGCTCTCCAGGGCACCCCAGGGGTCATGGATTTGGGAGGAGGGTGACGTGCGGAGAGGGCAGGAGGGCCTGGAGCCCCTGGCCCTCTGCTCCACCTGCTTTCAAAGGGCAAGGATCATGCAGCTGGGGGAGGGGGGCGGACTGGGCCCTGGGGTGGGCTCCTTGAAGGCGGCCCCCCCAGTTCCTAGGGAGTTTCTCTTTCCCTCAGAGGTGCATAGCCAAAGCTTCAGGTCTCTTTGGCCTCCCTCCCTGCCAGGACTTTTGGAGGAGGGAAGGGGCTACACCTATCCTGGCAGAAGTATATAAGGGGGCACTCCAGGATCTGCAGGGGTGCCTCGCTCTTAATATGCAGACCCATCAGGGAGGGTGCAGCCCCCCAGGTCCTACAGTGGGAACTCTGGGCCACGTGCCAGTTCGGCTGGGGGTGCATCTCCCGCCTGGGACTGGCTGACCCAGGGCGGGAGGGTTTGAGGGGGGTCCAGTGGGGCTGGTGTCTCCACCTTGGCAGCAGCCGTATGGCCAGTAGAGACCCGGTATATGATGGAGCAGAGGACACCACCGGCTATGCAGGTGTGCTCAGGGACCAGGCCTCGCCAATCTTGCTCCAGGGCAGGAAATGACCACCTGCAGGCCTCAGGAAGCTGGGTGGGGGACAGCAAGGAGCCCTCGTGGCTCTCCGCACCCCCCAGAGTTGGCCGAGGCCCTCTGAGGATAGGCCAGTCCACTTTATTGTGCTCTAAACCCAAGCCTGAGCCATTGACCGCCATGGAGAATCTTGGAAACGCAGTGGGAAACGGAGACTCGGTTGCGCCTGGCCTTCACTTTGCTCCTTAAATTCGGCGCGGAGCCTCGGCGCCCATGCCCCTCCGCCGCGGGGCGATGGCGTGCTGTAAGTCGTATATATTAAATCAATGTTAGTATTGACCCACGGAGACGATTTCCCCGTCTTGAGCCGAGGACCTCGGTGGGTGCTGGCGATACCGCTTGGAAACCCTCTCCGGGCCTCCATTCCGGAGGCCGCTCTCCCCTCTAGACTGCGGGTTTGGAGACGGCCAGGGCTCCGGCGCCGGGCGCTCACCGCTCACCCTCGCGCGCCCGCTCCACGCCCCTGGGCCACTGCGTCCCAGTCTAATGGGCCTGGAAGCTCGAAGCGAAGCTGGTCGGGCGCTTCTGGGTCCGGAAAAGAGCCGGCGGAATGGGCCGGGCTCGGGGCGCGGTACCCGAGGTGGCCTGGGTGGGATTGGGGATGCAGGCACGCCCCTCTCGGCCCTGCTGGCCGCCAGCTCTTAGGAACCCCCACGGACCAGCCCCAACCGGCCCGCGCTCCTCGCCCCTTCCCCCTTTGTGCCGCAGGTCGGCCCCAGCGCCCTCGGGGTGGGGCGGTGGTCGGGTCCCGCCCCCTCGCACCCCGCCCGGAGAGGGAGGTGCCGGGCCGCGGGCGCTCGAAGCCGCTCCGCCTCCTCCAGCAAGCTGAGCGCTGCCCGGAAGACCGGCGAGGCGGGTAGGGTTTCTGCTCCTGTCGGAGGATGACGCCCGAGCCTGATTTACGGGCGCTCGGCCCTGTCGGGCGAGCGAACATCGCTTCTTTTCGGGTCGGGGATCTTTGTAAGGAAACGGGTTTCCTCCCTGGATGTAATCGACTTAGAACATCAGGAGTTTGTGCAAAGCCTCCAGTACCCCCAAACACTCGCTCTCCCTCCTCTGGCCAGTCTGCCAGCCCCCTCGGAATGGAATAGGCTGTGCAAACAGGGGGGTGTTAGATTTCTAAGGTGAAAATTTGGTTTTCTTGAATTTATGGCCCAATTGGAGCGCCTGCTCCAACTGAAAACCCGGCAAAGCACCGTGTGGCTCGCTTGCAGCCAGTCAGCATGGGCCAGGGGACGTTTGTCCGGTACTGGTTCCAGGCCACTGCCGGCCACACGCTGTGGGTGCCCCCACACAGTCAAGTCTGGACACACTCAGGAGACCCAGGCATTGGTCTTTTGTTTCCCCCCCCTCTCTCTTTCCTTTTTATTATCCACAAGACTGAGATTGTTTAAATGTTATAACTTATAAGAAAATAAGCTACATTGAAATAAATTAAACACAACGGAGACGTGCTTCAGACATGGCTCAGGTAGGATGTGCGACCCCCCCCGGAAAGAAAGCCAGGCAAAACCAAAGCAAAGCAAATTCTCAGACGCCCCCAAACGCCTGCTTCTCAGTCAACTAAAAAAGCCAGAACAGAAACAAAAGTGTCAACCCCAGTGTGTGCTCTCGCATGTCATGTTTACCTTTGGAAAAGTATGGACAGGTGGTGGCTGCTATGGGTGGCGGATTACAGCAGAGGTTTTGTTTTCTTCTGGAATGTGAGTGGAGAATATTACTGGCTGGTTTGGTCCTATATAACTTTCAAAATACTGCAGCTGAGATCCAGTCTATATAGATATCTATGTACAAAGTAGGGTAGTATAATAAATATTTAGTGTGTCTTCCTCGGTAGCTGTCGCCCCTTCGAAAGCAGTCTTTGAGGCCTGTGTAATGAATAGACTCTCACTTTACTTGGGGTGTCCACAGTTGGGGTGCTTCCCATGAGGCACAGCCCACCCGGGGTTCCCTCCAGCAGGGGCCTGTGGTGTTCCTGCAGAGGCCAGGCCCTGGCCTCCCTGGGCCCTCATGGCCGGGCCTGCTCCAGCTGCTGATGCTGACTTCTAATCGCGAACCTGCTGACGTGGACGGGGATGGGGACCACGATCTTGGGGTTCCGGGAGGGCTCCCCTGTCTTGGAGTTGGCATTGCCGGCCTTCACACGTTTCCACTTAGCCCTGCGGTTCTGGAACCAGATTTTCACCTGCACCTCGCTGAGTTTGAGGGCGTGGGCGATCTGCGAGCGCTCGGTCAGCGACAGGTACTTTTTGCAGTGGAACTCCTTCTCCAGCTCCAGCAGCTGCTCGCTGGTGAAGGCAGTCCGCCGCCGCCGGTTCTTGCCCGTGGACGTGGTGCTGCCCGAGGCGCCGCCGCTGGGCGGGGGCTCCTCCAGCGCGTGGCTGGGGTCTTCCTCCTTATGAGCCGCCTGGCCAGGCAGATTGTCATCCGAGCTGTAGTCCAGATCGCTCTCCAGCGAGAAGCTCTCCTCCTTGCCCTTCGGGTCGTCTTCCACCTTTGACTCGTCTTTCCCTTGCCCTCGGACAGCCCCGGCTGAAAGCAAAACCAAACGGGGTTTTATTACATTTCGCACACCGGCCTTCCTTCCCCCTTCCCGCCGTCACTCGGGCATTTCCCCCCTTAGCGAATGGTCTTTCTATGACAGTAACACATTGTGATTTCCTGGCCTTTGCGGGGGCGGGCGCCTTAGCGTGAGAACGCTCAGAAGAGAGGAGGAGACCACACAAGCAAGGGACTCGAGGCCCGAGTGCCTCCTGGGCACCCTCCCGGCCTCTGGCAGCTTAAGGCCCGAGGAACAGGGAGAGTGAAGCCCAAGAGAGCTTCCTCTTTGTCCCCCGTGGTGGGGGCCGGGTGAGGACTGAGGGGAAGTTCAGGGCTCCACCACCCCAGGTAAAATTTTGTGAACTTCAATTTCGTCAAAGCCACAGTGGGCACTTAGGGAGGCGTAGGTCCCACGCTATGCATTTTTGGGAGACATAATGCTCATCAAAGGGAAGTTTGGTAGCCCAAGGAGAGTCCCCAACAGACACCCCAATACACACAAGCAGCTGCACAGCCTCCCAGGAATCCGATTGTCCAAGGCAAACAGCAAGCCCATTGAAAAGGTTTAATAGGTCTGGGCACCCCTAGGCACAAGCACTGTTGAGACTCGGAGCCAAGGCGACTCCCCTTAAGGCTGAAACCTACCCGGGACTCACGCAGGGCGGGGTGGGGGGTGGGGGGCGGTCAGGGGCGAGACTTCGTCAAACTCAGCGCCAGACAGATAGGCCGCCCTGTACAGCAGCTGGCCCGGGGGAGCTAAATGCCACCAACCCCCCAATCCGGAGACCATGCCTGTCGCGTGGCTCTAAAATGCCTCCCTTCCCCGCCCCCGAGTCCCCGTGGCTCCTCTGGGCCGCGTCTTCCCGCTCTTGGATGGGGGTAGCTAGGGCGGGGGCTCGGCCGCGACCCTCGGGCCCCGGCGGGAAGCTGGAGCGGGCTCGCCCCCGCCTCCTCCCGCCCCCGCGCCCGTGTCGCGCGCGCCGCCGACTTACCAAGAGACGCCTGCACCGCCTCGGCCGCAGAGAAGGCGAGCAGTGAGCCCTCCTTGGCCAGGAAGCCTTTGCCGTCCTCAGCGTCGGCCTGCAGCGCCTCTGCCTTATCGAAGTTGCCGCTGCCCGGCAGAGGCTGCGGAGCGAACTTGCGGGCGGCCGCCGCCTCCTGGTGCTGGGGAGATGCGGAGAAGCCACCAGGCAGCGTAGCCATGAGCGTGGAGGTGAGCGCCATGCCCTGCGCCAAGCTGGAGCAGAAGCCGGTGGGCAGGCTGGGGATCTGGTGGTGAGGGTGCGCGGGAGGCAGCGCGGGCTGCAGCGCGGCCTGGGGTAGCGCGGGCGGCGGTGGCGGCGGCGGCGGCAGCACCACCGGCCGGTAGGGCATGAACATGGGGTAGCCGGTGTAGACGAAATGGCCGGGGCTGGGCTGCGGCGGGCTGCCGATCAGCGAGTCTATGCTGAAGGCGGTACTACTCCCCAGCGGGCGCTGCATCATCATCAGCGACGGCGGGAACGTTGCGCTCATAGACGCGCTCGGGAGAGACCAGCGAGAGGCGAAAAGTCCCTGCGCCGCGCCGCCGCCAGGAAGCCCGCCGGGCACCTGCAGCACAGTCGGGCAGCGGGAGCAGTATCCAGAGAGCAGACGCCGCTGCCCCTCAGTCCTGGACCCGCTGCATACCCAGCGATTACGGGTGGTAAGCGGGGTGAGGTCGTGCGCCCCGGAGCGAAGAGAGCGCCCGGGCCCCGCAGGCTCGCTGGAGCCACTGCCGCCGCTTGCCCGTCGAAGCCCGCGCGCGTCGCGACCGCAACCCTGTGCCCCGGCTCACAGCCGTCGGTGGGTCCGTCTGTCGGTCCCGCAGTCCGTTGCCTACCGCGCGAAGCTGGCGCACTTGTCTTCCGCGGGCGCCGCCAGCACCTTTAAATCGCGCTCCTCTTTCTCATTCACATTTTGCCTGCTGCCCAGCCGGGCTCGCGTCACGTGGGGCCTAGCGCCGCCGCCTATTGGCTGCGCCAGGAGGGGCGTGGGAAGGTTGGGCCCCGCCCCTTCCACCAAGGCTGGCAGCCAGCGGGCTGCAGGCACCACCAGCGGAGCGCGCGGGCCCGAGAGCCTGAGCCTGTAGCTCAGCGCAAACTTGAAAGGGGCGGTTGGCACCCCCAAGGCTCGAGTCCCGCGGCCCGGCAGCCTGGTCAAGGCCGCCTTCAAGGGCAGCTTCCGGGGCTAGGGCCCGCCACGGCTAAGCCGAGGGCGTTTTCTTTTATAGCTGCATTGGAACAAACCTGCTCTCGGCTCACCCTAGCTCTGGGTGCTGCTGCTGCTCTAGGGGTCCCGGCGAGGTTCCTGGAGTTGGGGGCATGGTCCTGCTGCTTCAGATCTGCCCCTGGGGCGCTGCCCGGCAGCTGACAGCCTCTGCCCGCCTTGGGGAACCCTGGGGGTTGCTCCTTGCGCCCCGACTCCTGCACCGCCGGGGCGGGAAGGCTGCCGGTTCCCCCATGCCGCGCTGGGCCCTCCCGTGAGCGATCCCTTCTCATTTTTCATGACATTCTTAATCATCGCACCTATTTACACACTTTGCCCGTGCGCACCAAAATAACAGCCACGATAATTATGATAATAAAGCGAGTCCTTCATCTCCTCCATCCTGGGGGAGGAAGGGGGAGTTACTGTGCCTCCCGATTGTATAACGTGAGATTATCTTGATGAAAGCTTTATGATGTTTGCTCAAATAAAAGCTGCGTTTTGTAAATAGGCGCTAATTAAGCACGTTGAGATCGGAGGGAGCGCTCACCCCGGCGCCGCCGCCCGGTTTCCAGCGCGAGGACTCGAGGGCGCGCGGCTCCTCTTTGCCTCCTGCAGAATGGAGCCGATTCCCTCCAGATGTCTCTCTCTCTCTCGTCTCGACCATGGTAAAACCCCAGAATTTGGGAGTAAGAGAATTGGCTGGGAGGGGGTGGGGCTAGGAATGTTTATATCCCTTTCTCCAAGATGAAACCAAAACTTTCAGCTTTCGTGTTCCGTTTAAGAATGGAATCATTTCCTCTCAAGGGCAGACCATGCAAAGCGCGCCGGCGCGCTCGGGGCTTCCACGCGCCTCCGGGGCCTGGGCTCCAACTTCCCGGGTCTAGATGTGCAAGTACCGGCTCTGGAGGAGAGGCGCGAAGGGCATTGTTACACCGGCCATTAAAAATCAGGTCACGCGGACGAGCTAGTGGTTGGGGAGTTGGCCCGTGATGGGTGTTGGACGTGTGTTATGTATCACTTACAAAGCACATTTAATTGGGAGATAAAGATAAATCGATCTTTATGAATTTATCGACCCGATTCTTTGAAGCTCTTCTTTCTTTTCCTTTCTCTAGAGCTCTCACCCCAAGGGCCCCGGGGGATGTCTTAATCCCAAATCACCTCCTCATCCACGAGTCTGGCTGGACACCCACTACCCATCCGAAGGGTCCTGGAGGGTGCTGAGAAAACTCCCTGGCCCAGCCGCCAGCCGCCCTCCTCCTCGCCACCTCCCCCCCCCCCACACACACACACACACCACCACCACCACCACCACCACCACCCGGACAAAGACGTCTGGAGCGCGGTTCCCCACTCCAGGCCGCAGTAATAGATGGCTCCGGCAGCAGGAGGTTTGAAAAGAATTCATTAGGACGCTGCCTGTGTTGCCTCCACTCTCTTGAAGCCCAGACCCTGTGGGGGAAATGGATTCCTGTGAGGATCCACCGGGATGCAGATATCTGTGGGGTCTCTAAGCTCTACCCCTCTTTATCCATTCCTACAAAAGAAGAAAAGGAAAAGAGAAAAAGCTGAAGCCCAGGGCAAAAGGCTGATTTCTTTATGGCATAATAAATATTCCCTCTCACTATGAGATAGTTACAGTCACAGAGGTCCAGGTCTCGTAAACTTGTTTTTCCAATACTAGGGAAACCCCCTGGACTCCTGGCTTGATTTACATGGCTACAGCCTTCCCTGCCTGACTCCGCACCCCGGTGTAGGCTGTTACTCATGCACTTTGCTATTTCACAGTGAAAATATTGTTCTACGGACTTACCTTCCGAAAGCCAGGAATCCCTTTGATTATTTTTGATGACAATTCTGCATTTATAGTTGAGCAAGAAGATTTAGGTCCGTTGAATTATAGCTACACTTGAAATAATTTGATGGCATATTATTTGCATCCATAAATTGCCGTGCAAAGTATTGACTGCAGGGGTTATAATACTAATCTTCTTTTATTAGTGAGTTCAGAGAATCCTCATCAATATGAATTTTATTTACTAGTGTGCTTTTTCTCGAATGCAGTGCAGTAATATTTTCTCATGTAATGCTTAACTGCTTAGAAAACGACTGCTCGCGTCATAAAAGGGTCCTTGTGTTTCGCAGTGATTAACAAGAGTCATTCCGGGCACCTCAGCTACCTGCACGGCGTTTGGAGGATGGGGACTGCGGATAATCAAAGCCTTTAGCCTTCTTCCTCCGCTCTTCCGAGAGACATATGGGCAGCAGCGACAGGTACATGGCTTATCTAGCCTTCGGATTCCTACCTGCTCTGCTCGCCACTGCCTGAAACTGCGGAGCCCTGGGCGCCTCAGCTGGCACCGGCTGCGCGGGAAAACCACCCAGACCAGATCTTTGCAGCTTTGCTTTCAGAGGCCTCTCTCCTCACTCGGATTAGGAAGAATGGCGGACGCACTGCACCAGCAGGAGAGCTGGGTCCTCCAACTCTGGTTAACTTCCGCGAACTTTTTTCCAGGGAACTTTCCTCCGGGTTGAAGTTGGCCCAGCCCCTGGGCACTTTCCTTGGCGGGTGCCAAGCTGGTGTCAGGATCGTTTTAAGCCACTTGAAACCTCAGACGTCAGTAAAAGGGATGGTAATTAAGTTGTCTCCCCGCTTGGGGGCTGTCCCAGTCAGCGGCGGCCTGCAGGTGTAGGCAGGCCGAATAAAGTACTGACCGCACACATAAATGAACATCCACGCAACAGACCCGCGTGGGCCTGCCGAGTCGAGCTCGCAGGAGGGAGCAGCGCAAACCGCGCGCTTCCCGGCTACCGCCAGGGGAGAGGTCGCGGGTGGGCGTGGAGAGGGGGCAGCGTGGGAACCCCGAGTTTGGGTCTCGGTGGGTGCGGAGCAACCCGTGGGCCTATGGGGCCCGCGTGCTCGCCTGCCCGCCCGCCCGCCGCCCAGCCCCAGGCGACAGGCTGGTTTCTTGGGTAACCGCGTTGTTTTTATTTATAGGGACTTTGAGTGGCCTGATCATTCGGTCATTGCCTCGGCTCTTGCTGCTGGCAATAGCTGGGAAATAGCTTGGGATGGGTTTTATTTATGGAAGGGCAATTGGGATTCACACCCAGCTAACCCAGAACAGTCTTCCCCCCAGCCCAGGACGCACTCACAAAGGGGTGCTTGTGTAAAATTCCCCTTCAGACACACCAATTTGCAAGTAGCAGAAAGCATTGAAGCCTCATTTTTTAAACTATTTTATTCAGCTTTTTTTTTTTTTAATCTGAAAGCCCAAAATAGACTCCATGTGGTTCTAAGTGAAGTCAGCCCTTGGCTGGCTTTGAAATAGCTCCTGCAATTATGTAAAAGAGCCATTCACCAACAGGACGGAATTAAAAGGGATCTCGCCCGCTTCCCTTTCATTGCCAACCTCTCATGTTTGACTTTTCAAAGCACTTCCAACACGATGTCTTTCTCCAGGACAAAAGGCAGAACAAAAAAAGTCCCCAAACTTGTAAATTGAACGTCAAGGGGACTTTAAACAATTTAAAGCCCATAAATAATGATAAAGGGGACTGGCAAAAAAGGCAAACCCATTCAATTAATGGAGTTTCCCAAGCAAAGATCAAGTGGTTTATAAAATAAAAGTCTTTGCTTCATTATTCCGCTCCTTGACCGTGCAGAAGGCGGGACCCGGTTTGTTCTAAAGCGCCTGAGGAAGGGACGGTGTGCGGCCACATTCTTATGTAGAAAGTTTTGCTTTTTGTCCCCCACCCTGACAGTAGCACAAACAAAACCGCCAACCTGAAGCGTGAGGGGGAGGGTTCTTTTATTTTTTTTTCTTTTTTCTTGCATTTCCTCGGGGGAGTAGGAAAACGTTCTCCGCAGGCATGGGGGCGGGGAAACGTGACCCTTCACACCTGCGCTGCCCTCCCCACCCCCGCGCGGAGGGGCAGGCGGAGCCGCAGTTGCTCCGCCGGCCAGCGGAGTCCCCGAGGTACCTGGGGGCCGGGGTGGGGGGTTCCTGCACCGCGCCGGCACCCCCCGGGACCCCGACGGCGCACCCAGGCGCCCGCTGCGAGCGCTCGGAGCCCGGGTTCCCCCGCACCCCACGCCAGCTCCACTATGGAGCGGGGTCCTAGTCCCCTTTTGGAACATCCCTAAGGGAGTTCGTGGCCACTGTGGGGGCTGGATCGCCAGGCGCCTTCGCCCTGGAACCCGCACTCACTCGGCAGCACCCAGCCCCGGCCAAGGGGGCTCCTCGCAGGGACTGAGCCGCCTGCCCGCCTCGGGGGAGAGGGAGCTGGTGGAGGCCGGCCCGAGGCTGCAGTTGAGGGCGGAGGCCTGGGGTGCAGGCGTGGAGGGGTAGCGAGGGCACTGGCCAGAGTCCGGGAGGCTGCGCCTGTCCTCGAATCCCAGGCCCTGGGTGCTGGAGGTGGAGGCGCAGGCCAAGGCGCTTCTCACGCGGCTCTATCTCCTCCATCTGCCCCCTCGGATTCCCGCGCCCCCACCTTTCGCGGACTTCAAACGCACCCCGGCCACTCGGCGCCCGACTTTCATCTCTCCGCACAGCAGGCATTGTTTGCGGGCCTTCACAGATATGCTAATCCCGGGGCCGCGCGAACGCTGGCCTGGGAGGCCGGCAGAGGGCACGGAGGGGTGAAGGGGTGCGCCTGCCCCGGCTGGGCCTTGGGGACCACTGTATGGGCGGCCCGTTTCGCCCGCCTTATCCTGATGCCGGCCTCAGACTGGTTACAGCCGCGTTCAGTGGATGATGAAGTAGGAGGCATCGGACCAGCGACCACGGCCAGGGCCCAGCCGTGCGCACTTCCCAACTCGGGAGGACACCGTGTGTCGGGAAGAGCCTGGCCAGGGACTGGGCCCGAATAGGGCCCTTCCCCGGAAATCCAAGGGAGCGCATCTGCGGGCCCCGGAGGGCTCGCCCCCCCCCCCCCGCAGGGTGTTGTCTTTTTAAAGAGCACGGGCTT